CCGTCCAGGCTGTCCCCGCGCAGAGGGCGGAAAGGGCTTCAAGCGCAAAAACGAGATGATCCGCCATGGCCTTGTACATGATTCGCCTGGCTACGTCTGCCCGTTCTGTCCAGACCAAAGACACCGCTATCCCAGGCCGGATAATCTCCAACGGTACGTTACCCAAAGAGGGAAAAAAAAACCGTTCTTTTTTTTTCGGCCCCTATGGTTCTTTGTTCTTTGTCGATCCCGCTCTTAGCGTGGATGCCTGTTCATCACTTTCCGCCTGCGCCTCCCGTGCCTCAGGCAGGTGCTTATTCAACACTCAACATACAACCATTACTCATACCTACACCTCAACCACAAAATTGTAAATGTGGCTGTGCTAACCTTCTGTTTTGCCGCGTACACAGACACGTCCGAGTCCATCACATCGACAAGGACAGAGAAGACCCGCTGCTCAGAGAAGTCCTTGCTCAAAGGCCCGAGGGCGCCAATCGTGGTCGAAGGCGTAGAGCCTAGCCGTCCCCCATCTCCCTTTTTCCTCCTCCTCCACCCCTTCTCTCTTCAAGATATACCATGACCACGGCCACGACCTACGCCCTTCCATCATCATCGTCATCGTCGTTATATTGTCCCATTTCAAAGCGAGAGCGAGAGCGAACTGTGTTTTTGATCTTTTGTCTTTCTATCTGTCTCCGTGCCATTGCATTTCATTTCCCATTTCTTCTTCTCTCTGTTTTATACGACTATATATATATATATATATAGCTTATATATATACTCTGTTCTTATCCTCCAGACCATACCATATCTCCATTCGTTCGTCTACCCGGCCCCGTTTGGTTCTTGTTTTCCCCATTCGTTTTCCTTTTTTTACATCATTCACTTACTTACTTGGCTACTCATCCATCCTGCTTGCTTCTACTTACACTCGGTTTGCAAAGGCGTACAAACATCGGCTGGATCATTCTTCTTTCTTTCCCACCACCTTGCTTTTTCCCCCTTTCCTTTCGTTCTCCATTTCCTTCCGTGTATTTCTTTAATACGTCCCATTACCATCTACATTTGTTTTCCTTGTTTCCTCGGGGGAAGCGTGAAACCATGCACGCACTCGCGAGCAAGCAAATCCCCATGCCCCATTCCATTCCCACCCCCTCGCATTTCCTTAAAAGGCTAAAATCATCTCATCGTTTCATTCACTTTCCTTTTTGTCGTCGGGGGAAAGGGGGAATTTCAACAAAATTTTTAAAAGAAAACGGCCGTTCATCATACTTACTTACACATTACACATATCTTGCAAGGGGTCCTGAGACGAGGGTTTCAGGATAGCATTGAATACGGACACGGACGCGGACACCTTGGAAGTAGAAATGGGGGCTATTGAATATTATTGATCGGTTGGTTTTGAATATTGGAAAGATCAAAGCAGTTCAATAACCAGTTAACGGCCCCGTGTATATATTTATTTATTTACTTATTTACCTCTCAGAAGAAAAGAAAATAAGAAAAACAAACAAGAGCAGAGAAAAAGTAACGAGAGGGAAGAAGAACGAAGATGAAGAATTTCATGTGATGGATGCTGGCTAGTGTGTTGTGTTGGCTCTGGTCCGTCTCTGCATCTGCATCTGCATTTGCGTGTCTTATGCCTTCGCAAGGTTGCTTTGGTTACTTCTCAGGGGCGGGCTAAGCATCTGATAACGATAACTAGCCACCGGCTGCTGTGTACGGAGTACGGGGGTATCCATCCATGTCCAAGGGCGGAAGGAGATGTCGTGCCATATATAAACGTAACTAAGATGTCAGCATGACTGCATCATACGACCAGCCGACAGGCCGGACGAAAGGCAGCCGTTCATATACGGAGTAAGTAAGAAAGTAGTTAGTTAGTAGGTAGGTAACGGAGCAGCTGAAATAAAACAAGATGCAAGAAAGAGAGTCAAAGAGAAAATAAAATAACCACATCCAGCGAGAAGCGAGGGTTCAGTCAAGGAAATGGCCTAAAACGGAATCCGATGCGAGCGCCCTTTCGTGTCCGTAGCAGACGGCGGACGGACGAATCCAGGCTCCCGCATCCTCTATCCAGCGCAAAGTTACTCCTTCGGCAATTAAGCACCGTCTCTTCGTCCGAGAAGCGGTTGCCGCGCAGGATCTTGACTCTCGACATCCTCATCCTCCACCTCCTCACCTTCCTTCGACCCATTACTGTGCCGGTAAAGGATGTAGTGCTGAACAATGAAGATAAAGTCAAAGAAGATGCTCACGTTACTTAGACCGAATTTCGCAGGGTTGCCCGTGATACCGCTCCAGTCGTTTTCAAGCGACGAGTCAATGACCAGCTGTATCAGGGAAAGGAAACCGCCTATCAAATCAAGAAGGATCTGCCATATGCTCCATCCCACTGTTGATTTTAGTCGGTAGTTCAAGTATACCTGCGGACAGTACTTGACTACCGTCGCAAGTAGCTTGACATATGACATGGTATAGATCTAATTTCGATTGCAGAAACGCGCATTGTCAGCATGCAGTCGCGACGCAGCTAGAGAAGCAAAGCAAAAAGGGTACAACGCACAGCATCTATCCAGGCCCAATCGGAAGCATCGTTACCGCCCTTCGACCATGCTAGTAGTAAGACGCCTAGTATGCATAGAACGGATCCTACCACCATGCCGGCCACGGGGGCGCTGACGTTCTGGTGCGCAGATGCTTTAAAGCCCCATATCATAGGGAAGAATTGGGAATACGTCAATACGCTCAGCACCACTGCGTGGAAGGCGAATGCGACGTCGTTGGCTCGCACGGTAGGCACTGGAGCCTCTGGGTGACGAACGGCATACTGGTGTCGTATGACGGGTGAGAAGAAGAAGGTCGAGGTGTAGATTGCGTAGCAGACGAAGCCTAGCACGTTGGAGGTTGGGAAGGAGATGGTAGAGCCTGAGGTGGAGCGCCGTTGCCAGTTCTTGAGAGGCTGCGGGTAGAATGAAAGGGACCAGCAGAGCATACTATTTTATTTTTGCAATGTGATTCCCGAGTCAGCTTCGGGATGTCCGCTTTGAGACGAGGCTGACGGCTGGCAGGGTGTGTGGGGAGAATGGGAGAGGAGGTGAGCATACTATATCCATCCCAGAAGCCTGTGGAGTAGTTAATATCGTTAGCTCGGTGCTTCCTTTGACTTGAATATAGCTGCTGTAGAGCTTATGGATGTGGTGTTGCTGGTGGACATGGACGTTACCTGGAGATTGCGCGCAGGAACCGCACGACCTGGGACGACATGGCTGGCGGCGACGAAGTAGCGAAACAGGCCTCCTGCTGTCTTACACTCCGTGTGCGAAGGAGAGGGAGGGAGAAAAAAGGGCCTTTGGTTTTCTTTCTGGCTTCAACCAGCGTCCATCCTGTCGTCTTTTAAAGGTGATGGTCGTGTGCTTTCAGGTGTTGTGGTGGTTATGTGAGGCGCGGCATGACCAGAAAGATGGTCATTTGTCCCGTTGACGCCGGACGAAGCTTCGGCTTGCAGCTCGAGGAGCTAGGCTAGGCTGGCTGGCAGGCTACTTCTTACCTAGCTAGCTACTGGACTCGAGGAGAGGTGACGAAAGAATAGACTATATTGCGTATATCATCAGTTGGTTTTTCGGTTGGTTATTATAGTTATATTGGCTTGCGGCTGTTGTTTAACTGCTTCGCGGCCCTGCGGCTCTCAGCAACCCTGGCAGGCAGTTTACTAGTTACACTACCTAGAGGCTGTTACGAGAGTCTACAAGGCCTACAAGCAGCCACTCGACCGGCCTCGGGATAGCCAGCTGAATAATAGCAAGAGAGGATCTGACTTTGGTGATCGGTGATCGATCTTCCTGGTGGCACAAGAAAAAGCCAGAGTTCGAGACATCGACCAATATATCAGCCGCGCCCATCACAGAAACATGTACCGAGCGTAACTTGTCGTAGAAACCGTCTTTAACTGGCTAACTGTCCATCTAGCGCCCGTCGCCTGCTTACATATATGAAGCCGGAAGCCGAAGCTAAGTCGAGTCATTTCGCTGCGAGAAGGAACTTTCCGGCGGCTCCCAACATCCACGACTCCACGACCAGAGGCCAGAAAATCCATACAAGTCTACCTGTCAAACAAGATAGCTTTCGAAGAAACTAGTTATTTGTCCATCGCGAGTGCTGCCAGCATGGTATCCGACGATCTTGTGCCGGAGACAAAAGTATTGGCGATTGCAAGCCATGTACGTTCTCCTCCCAAGTTGCGGTTAAGTTGGCGAATGAGCCAAGGGTGACAGTATCAACCCTCTGCTAACCCCAGTAACGCTTGGTATCCGAAGGTAGTTTATGGGTATGAAGAAGTCTCTCTTGTCCCGGTACCTCCGCTTGATGGTGCATGTCCTGCCTGCCACAATACCCCCGGGGTTGGACCGGATGCACAAGAATACCCGGGCCTTCACCTCCCAGTGCCGCCTCTATCTACCTATCCACATGGATGTTTGATTGATAGGTACTAAATTCAACTGTTCTGGTACAGATATGTCGGCAATACGATGGCTACGCTTGCCCTGCAATCTTTGGGCTGTGAAGTGGCTGCCTTAAACACGGTTCATTTCAGTAATATCCTCTCAGCCCTCTGTGCACAGCGAGGAAACAGATGCTGACTATCTATGCATAGGCAACCACACCGGGTATAGACAGTTCAAGGGAACGAAGTCGTCAGCTCAAGAGATAACAAACCTCTACGAAGGGCTACGGCAGAGCTACCTTACTGACTTTGACGTTTTACTGACCGGGTATGCACCCAGTGCCACGGCAGTGGAAGCAGTCGGTGCTATTGCAATGGACCTGAAGAAGAAGACATCTACGCGGCCGGGCTCCTTCTTCTGGGGTGAGTTTGAGATGTTAACTGTACTGGAGTTATGGTCCCCCTACTAATAGATCAAATTTAGTGCTTGATCCCGTCATGGGAGACCAGGGACGCATATATGTTAACGAGGATGTGGTACCGGCATATAAATCCCTTGTCCCACATGCAGACTTGATCCTACCAAACCAGTTCGAAGCTGAGTAAGTTAGGCTGTCCCTGACAAGAGTCGCAACAAGTAAGCTAACAAGATGGACAGACTACTCTCGGGAATAAAAATTACTTCAGCTGAGAATCTAGTGGATGCAGTAACGGTCATCCACCGTACATATAACGTCCCCCACGTAATTGTTACTTCGGTACAGCTACCAGACGCTCTCTCTTCATCGGCATCATCAGTCGTCTCCCTCTCAACAGCAGATAATTCATCCGTGAGCCAAGATGCTCGACCAGACAACACACTAGCAGTCTTCGGCTCTACAATGCGATCTGACCGCTCTGCTCGCCTGTTCAAAGTCGAGGTACCACGCATAGACTGCTTCTTCAGCGGGACAGGGGATATGTTCGGTGCATTGATGGTTGGGCGACTTCGTGAAGCTGTGTTTAACGATTCGCCCGCTCTCCGTGAGACTGCCTCCTGGATATCTCCCGATGATGTTGCGGTGACGGATCTACCACTTGCCAAGGCCACCGAAAAGGTTCTAGCGAGCATGCATATGGTTCTTGAGAAGACCATGATTGCAAGAAATGAAGAGCTGGCAAGATACCAGAGTGAAGACGGGAAAGATGACTCTGAGTTTGCCCATCTCCCGGAGGAAGAACGCAAAGCAGCGCTTGAGAAGAGAGCACGCCTTCGTGCCACGAAAGCGGCAGAGGTCAGGCTGGTGCGCAATGCCGAATACGTAAGACACCCTGTTGTGAAATTCAAGGTGAGGGAGTGGAACCAGTGATACTCTTCGACTCTTCTTTTTTTATATCATCATTGGTATTGCTTTCTAGTAGCAGTGGTCTCTGATTTCCTTCATTTGGACATAAACATATATACTGGACATTAGAATAGAAACCAGAATCATATCTAGAGTTCCGAGTCATGAATCGTTTAACCCGTGCTTCCGAACCCGCCGGCACCACGTACGCTCTCCTCCAATTGCTCAACAACAAGAACTTCAGGGGTGTAAATCTATAATCCGGGTATTAGCCACTGAGCTGCCAATATAAAAATGGTTAAACCTACTCTCTCAAGGATGAGCTGGGCAATTCGATCACCCGCCTTGACTATATCATTGAAAAGAAATTAATGTCAGTTTTCAAAGAGAATAATGTACCGTGATAGGACAACGTACTGGTAAAGTTGACACCAGAGAAATTGAACAGTAGCACCTTGACTTCCCCTCGGTAATCAGCGTCGATAACACCAGCTCCAGTGTCAATGAAATTCTTCGACGCAAGCCCGCTGCGGGGTGCTATCCTTCCATCTACGCCGTGTTAGCCAACCAAATAAATATGTGCAAGTTTTCTTCTAGAAAAACAACTTACAGGTTCCCTCTGGAACAGCAATTGCAAGTCCAGTCGAGACCAGACCTTTGCCTCTGCCGGGAATCTCTGTATCCTTTGCGGCATACAGGTCATACCCAGCAGCAAAGGCAGATCCCCGAGTAGGCGCGCGGGCTTCTGGCACTAGTTTCTGTACCTGCAACTGAGGGATGGGAGCGGCAACAGCAACGACCGGTTCTGGGACTGCCATGGCTTCAATCTTGGGACGTTTGGCGAGGGGTGAGTTCGGCAGCGAAGGGGCGGTGTGGGTGGCCTCGTCGGCAATTGGGGCAGTGGGAGGGGTGGCTTCTTTGGGGTTTGTCATTATACGTTAAGCTGGCCGCTCTATCTCAATTCATCAAGGTCACAATTGAGTTGTTCTTCTGGTCGAAGACCGAAAAGCACTTTATCTTCGCCTTTTATGCCGTTGGCCGCGTTTCTTGGTACGCGTTTGGTCACGTGAAGCATCCCGCCGACAGACAGGGTCCGAAGAAGAAGAAAGGCAATGAATAAAACATCTTGGTATAACACGCAACTTGGTGTCGGCTTTGTACCCGAGAAGTCATCTAGGGGCCCGGGATACGCTAAGTATAGAGAGGCGTCTACGGACTTTCTAAGATAGGCAGCTTCTCACGCCGCCTGCCACTTTTCTAGCACTTAACATTACGTAGTTTTTTGGACCGGGTTATTATCGGATAAATAACGGGGTGCAACCGAGAAACGGCTGGTATTGGCCACTCAAGCGGCAGCCTCACAAAGTCCTCCAACTTCCAGCTGCTACAACTTCTTTGGGTCGAGAGCTCAGGTTGAACAAGTGCTAGCGGCAGTGCCTGGAGCATATTTAAGCCGCTTATGTCATAGTTTACGCCAAGACTTTAACCGCAGCGAGTCTAAGCTGACGTCAAGCGAAATCAAGGAAATAACCCTGTCAAGTGGTTGGTAAAAGCTTTCAATAGTCAATATATCCCGTTCTCATGCCAGTGTGCAGGCATGTTTTGAATCTATTCCTCGAATCAGGATCAGATTTTCATCTTGGGGCAAAAACCAACGGGGATGTGTATGATTTACCTAACAGAGAGCGTACTACATAGTTAATCTGCTCAATTTTTAACCTACCATAGCTTATTTAAAAAAGAAAAACTCCCCTTCATTTTTGATCCCTCCAAAACAACGACGAGTTCTTTCTTCTTCTTGTTGCTTTTTGTCTCTTTTAAACGCTTTCATTGTTGAGTGAACGCGAGACTTTCCCAAAAAGGGAACCCAGAATAGGCTCCGGATAAATAAAGATCCATACATCACGTGCATATTTAGCCTCATGTTGACAAACTTCCCTTTTGGGAAAGGTCGCGGTTCCACCCTTTGCAGACGAAAGTTTCTCCGTTCTTCGTTTATTGTCAAGGAGTCCAGGAGCGACGAGCGTTGTTGCAGCCAGCGGACAAGGAAGAAAGGACGTCTTTGGATGACACAGAGTACACAGCGCGAGGATGGACACTCTTAACCTGCATTCTGCGTCTGAGTATCTCAATAATCTACTTCTCGCCCGGGGACTCCTGCGGAATGGGAAACGGATCGACTTTGCAGACCCGGGAAAGGCTGCTGACGGTGCTGAAGACACAATGGCACAGATTATCAATCTCGTTCACGATTTAGTGACTCGAAGAGACGTAAGTACTACCTAATTTCCACTCCTACTGGCTATAATACTACGGCAGTTGCACTAACATTCCAATCCGCCAGCGCGAAGCAGAGCAACGGGAAAACCTTGCCACAACAGTAAAAAGCCTCCGGAAGACAGAAGCAAAGCAGGCACTCCAGGTGGTGAGTTTAGTTATCATGGCTCAGCTGGGAGGGGGTCTGAAGGATTAGGTGTAGATCCTGAACTAACGGTGTTGTCAAACGATATAGGAGCAACTGGAAAGCAAAACGAAAGAGCTGTCTCGATCAATTGCCCTTGCGGAGGGCCAGGAAACTGCATTTAAATCCACGATACGCAATGCGGACATTACTATACGCGGCCTAAAAGACCAAATGCAGAGAATGAAATCTTCGATTCAGCAGATTAGAACCCAGTGCGCTACGGACATACGCAAACGGGATATCGAACTGCAGAAACTAAAAACACACCTAACTGAACGACAGCGTGGGAAGAGAGATGGATATGGCGTGATGACAATCACGATACAGCCTCCACCGAAAACGAACATTTCAAGCCGAAAGGGGCCTGAAGGAGGGAATCCTGTGGAAACGCCGGGATACAGTCTTAAGCAGGAAACAACAGAGTATCTGACACAGCTATGTCAGGGCCTAAGTGATGAGAATGATGCGTTGATACAGCTGTCTCGGGACACAATTCAGACACTAAGAGAATTGCAGGGATTGACAGACGGAGATATTGAGGGGTTTGCTGAGGGTGCTTCAGGGGAAAGCGTGGATGCCGCTCTATCACGGCACGAGCTGCTCTCAAGAGAAATGGATGCTACACTCGAGCAACTCCGGGCTTTACTTACAAACCCTTCCTTTGTTCCCCTGGAAGAAGTGGAACTTCGGGACTCTGAGATTGCTCGACTGCGGGACGGGTGGGAGAAGATGGAGCAACGATGGCAGGAGGCGGTTTCGATGATGGACGGGTGGCATAAGCGGGTATCTCATGGCAGCGCATCGATCAGTCTGGACGAGCTGAAGCTTGGGATGTCGTTCGCAACGGATTCGAGTATGCAGAAGGACGCTGGCAGCACGACGAACCTATCCATGGATCAGTCGGAATCGGGGCACTCGGCGGTGTCGAGCAGACGGGTGTCCAACGACTCTTCGACCCGGGAGAGGCCGAAGAGACTGTTTGATATCGAGCCGTCCGCCAAAGACCACGCTCCAGGTCCTGTAGGGAAGGCAGCCGCTCCGAGATCAGACGCAAACGATATACGGCAGAAGCGACGGAGGCTGCAGAGGAACCGGCCGGCGTGACGCGCCCGTCGACTTTACCATATCATATGATATAGACTAGATCTTTACATCTATAAACATCTTCGCCTTGTAGGCTTCTTCTAGGCTTCCTTTCTTCATCTTCTTCATGTAGTCTGATATAGGGGCATCCGCTTAGTCAGCCACATCCTCAACCACAAAAACCTCGTTTTCTTCCGTCCTCACAACCTCAAACCTCGCTCGCTTGCAGAATCCGACGTGATCGAAACCTCGTTTCCCCTTCTCTTCCTGCCGCATTCTCCTATCGCGCCCTTTTTCCGGTCTCTTATGCTTCGACTCATGCCTTAATACAGACGTTTTGCTGGTTTAACTGCTGTGTTTGATACATCGCCGTTGCCCCCGTGTCCAGACTCGAGCCTTAATTGCCGCCCGGCCTCAAGACCCTTATCCTCGACGGGTTTGCGAGCTTCTTGCGTTACTTCATATTAATACATTTATACTACTTGCCAAACCGCCGTGCAGCCCACTGGCCTGGTCTGCCTCCGACCCTTTGCCCAACAAATACACCACCCAGCTGTCCGGATTCTGGCTGAAATTTGGATCCCTGTCCCTTAATCATATCCGCCGCTTGGGCATTGCCCCCGACGCCTTTCTGGGGGTTATTCATCGACCTGCGTTCGAACATACGTGGCTGATTTATCCCTTCGCAAACTCAGCTGGTGCTGCAGGAGCTTTGCTTTACTCACCAAAAAAATTTTAATACACTCCTCTCCGTTCTTCAGCCGGGCCGTGAAACCTCCCTCCATATCCCCGAGAACAGCCATGGCAAGCCACATTATTGGAAACCGAAACAGCACCCCTGAGGCTTCAAAGTCGTCCCTTCGCCCTCCATCTTCGTCCCGTACGCTAGGGGGTTCTCATCAACTTCGCGCGTCTGCCGATATGTCCGGCTTCGCCCCGCCGTTGTCGGCTCGCAATATTCGCCCCGCATCCGAGGTGTACTTCAACCAGCAGTCACAGGCCCAGAATAACGCAGATGATGCACTCGACCGGGCTGCGCAGCAGTGGTTGGCGGACATCGATCAGTATGAGACGACTCTGGAAGAAATGGCTGCCGCCACCTTGGACCAGGATTTCAAGGACGAGCTGAGCGCTATCGAGCAGTGGTTTCGTGTGTTGAGTGAAGCTGAGAGAACTGCTGCTCTCTATGCTCTACTGCAACAGACCACTCAGGTTCAGATCCGATTTTTCATCCAAGTATTGCAGCAAATGTCCCAGAGTCATCCGATGTCCAGTGTGTTGTCTCCTGCAACTTTTGGAGAAAAGGGTATGTTTGCTTTCCTGAAAACTATAGACTCCTCTGGCCCTGGATTGTATCCACGCTAACACGGAAGATGTTTAGATGCCATGTCCAACCGTCTAAGTGATGCCATGTCGAAGTTAAACGTGGAAGGGTCTCGCAACTCTCTTGTTCGCCCGCCGCCTTCTCCTGGCAATAAGCGCAACTCAGGACTTGATACCTCGACTATCAACGCCATGTTCCCTGATGCAGCCGCCGCTATTGCTAAGAAGAAAGCTGAGCTTACCCAGCAAACTGGAAATGCTCCTGTGTCAAACCGTAACAGTGCAGTGTTTAGTGGAGACAGGTCTTCACTCGTTGCTCCTACCATTTCTACCACAGATGTTGGCAAGGATAATTTACCTCAACCGCCTGCTTCCCCTTGGACTCACCGTGCACCGGAACAACAGGCTCCCATTGCACGGCCCAAGTCATCGTCCGAGCAGCAGCAGCAGCAGCAACAACAGCAACAGCAGCAACAACCAATGGGCCAGTTTTCGCAGCCCCTGCAGTCTGCCGGCCTTCGTTCCCCTCTTTCGTCGGGACCCAATAATATCCAGAGCACCACCATCACTGCCCCTGACCTTATGCCTGAGCCACCGATACTCTCTCCATACAATGTGGGAAATGCAAGTTGGGCTTCCATGACAAATACACCTATGGTTTCATCCTTCAACCAGCAAAGCCAACCAAATCAGGCCGATATGATTGCCAACGCTACTGCCATGAAACTTGCTGCTTTGTCAACTGTCAATAATCGCATTGCCCTAGACGATGCACGCAAATACCGCCGCACTCGCTCCAACGACAACCAGAACCGTATGCACAACCAGCCCCCTGTCTCTCCTGGCCTCCCAAACACCATTCCTGGAACCAATGTGATCATGGTGAACGATTCCGGCCAAATATTGAACCCCCAACAGATTGCTGCTCTGCAGGCTCAACAGCAAGCTGCCATCAGTGGGCGCCGCTCTCGTCCCAACTCTCCCGGGCTGGCGCTTCAGGGAACGCCGATACAGATGAACTTCACTTCTCCTCAGAACAATGGATTCCTTGCTGCATATGACGCTAACGCCTACTTGGGTAACACCCTTGGCGGAATGGGTGTCGGTCAATTCAGTGGCGCTGGCAGTCACGAAGGATACCTGTCTGATCATTCCGAAATTCCCCGTGGCCGTTCCCCACGCGGTCGCCGTGGAAGCTCCAAGCCACCAGAAGACCCAACTGACCCAGCTCTCCTTCAAGACATACCCGGCTGGCTTCGATCTCTTCGCTTGCACAAGTATACCGACAACCTTAAGGATCTTAAGTGGACCGAGTTGGTTGAGTTGGACGACAAAGGCTTGGAGGCCCGTGGCGTAAACGCTCTTGGTGCCAGAAACAAGATGCTCAAGGTATGTATCTAAGTCACATCCGTCCACCCCTCCTCTCATAGGTGCTTATTCTAACCGTTGCTTGTTACAGGTTTTCGAGCAAGTCAAGGAGGCCAGGTCAGAAGGAAAGCTCGACAACATCGTCTAATCCCACCAAACTAGGTTGGAGATGTAGCACTATCTATGTCTGATATAAAGGGGGAAAAGAAGAAAGCAAAATGATTTGTTCCCATTTGGTGATGCCGCAACGAATTTTTATACTCTCTTTTGCCTCGCGATATCTACCTGATGCCACCTCGTCTATAATCGGACAAGAGAATGACCGGTATGATTGTGAAAGCTCTTGCGTTATATCATTTTTTGGTGTCTGAATTTCCCTTTTTTTTCTCCTCTCAGTTTTAATTATTTTTACACATTTTCCTTTCTTGTTTCAATCTGGGAAATTGTTCCTATAGCTCCGTATCCGTATGGATAGCAGATGGATATAAGAAGAGTCTACTATCAGTGATTAAGTATCAAGACTCGAATATAACGTCAAACTCGTGGTATTTCGGCTACTTTTTGTCAATAACTTTTAAGTAGGTAGTGTAGGGTAGAAGTTGAATATATCATGGAGACTATTACCTATAACCATCCTCAGTCCTTACATATAAATGATATACAAATGCCTTCCTCCATCTCTTCAACTATGCCTTCGTCTACGCCTTCCATGTCTTCTTTCTATAAAGTCTTCATCTCTGCTGACCATCGACCTGCAGCCATTGGTCGGCGCCCTGTGCAAGGCCAAGCCTATGACATAATTCCAGCGCTGTTAAACTTGTTTACTCGGCGCTTCAGCATCGCTACTCGCAGCCCAGAATCAGCGATTAAGGCGGGCTGGAGGCTTAAGACAAGATCTTCTGGGAGACTCAGATGTCCTTGCAAGGTAATTAGGCCTCATGGTGGAAAGAACCAGCGTAAAAAGAGAAAGGCAGGGCTGCAGGGTGTCTCTGGCTCTGGCTCTGGATAGTAGAGGAGCCGTCCCCTTGTACCATATATAAAGCATGCCGCATCCTCGCTCCCCTCATCATCATCTTCCTCTTCTTTGTCGAATCTTCATCTGGCCCAGGATTCATATCACCAGGCAGACTGCGATTTCTAGCCAGCTCAGGCCTCTCAGCCAGTTGAACAAGCGTATATCTTCAAGCCAATTCTCAGATCGATTCACTCAAACGCCTTTGTATACTCTACTTGCTTACTTGCGATAGTATTTAGGTACGGTTTATAATTATTTTTAATTTTTTAGATTTTTGTTACAATTTCCTGAACCTTTATCACTAAATAAAGGTTTTGTTTACAAAAAATAATTATTATTAAAGGATCAATCCCAGGCCTTGGTTCTATCATGCGTGCCGTCGATTCATCCTCATAACTACGGGATAGAGTACTGATAATGAAGGCGTCATAGACCGGAAATTCAGCACATCTATACCTGCACTATCCTCGCCGCTAGCGACTGCTACCAACATGCCTGAATACAAACTCACCGGCTCCTCGCCCAGCGAGATCAAGAACGGAGACAAGGTTGAAGTTCAAGTGGAAGGCCTTGAGGGAGTGAAGCTTCTTCTCGTGAAACTTGACGACAAAGTCCATGGCCTTACCGCTAGATGTACACATTACGGAGCGCCCATGGTCAAGGGTGTTCTCACTCCTGATGCAAGAATAACCTGTCCGTGGCATGGAGGTAAGATGACTGCTTCTTTTGACAGACATGTCTCTGCTTCTTGAAAAAAAGGTTATACTGATGGGTATCTAGCTTGTTTCAATGTTATTAGTGGAGATGTGGAAGATGCTCCCGCTCCAAATGCACTGAACAAGTATGACATTTCTGAAAAGGATGGAGCGTTTTATGTCCAGTCCGATGAGGCATCCCTCAAAGCATGGGGCAGGGAACCAGTGAAGACCTGCAAGGTTGCTGGAAACGACAAAGTTGTTGTTGTTGGAGGGTACGTATACCAATGTTCCACATCAACATGTAGACGTCACTAATACTGGACTTGTATAGAGGGAGCGGAGCGTTCGGTACCATTGAATCTCTCAGAGAGCTCGGATATAGTGGAAATATCACCATGATATCAAAAGAGCCAAACCTTCCGTTAGACAGGACAAAGTTCTCCAAGGCATTGATAGCCGACCCTTCAAAGATCGAACTCAGATCCAAGGATTGGTACTCGGGCGTCTCTGTAGAGACGGTTTCCGACGAAGTGACTTCTGTAGACTTCGAGAACAAATCAGTGGCTACAAAGTCCGGAAAGTCATACCCATATACCAAACTTGTCTTGGCAACAGGAGGTACTCCTAGAGTCCTGCCACTTCCAGGTTTCAAAGAGTTGGGCAATGTCTTCACTCTTCGGTATGTCACGGATGTCCAGGCCATCTTGGCCGCAGTGGGAGAGAAGGGTAAGAACATCGTCGTCATCGGAAGCTCTTTCATTGGTATGGAAGTAGGCAATGCACTGGCAAAGGAGAACAAGGTTACCATTGTTGGGATGGAGTCTGCACCTCTAGAGCGCGTTATGGGAGCAGAGGTCGGCCGCATTTTCCAACGTAACCTAGAGAAATCAGGTGTGAAATTCCACATGTCCGCATCTGTGGAGAAAGCCACTCCATCCTCTGCAGACTCGTCCAAGGTCGGTGCAGTACACTTGAAGGATGGGACCGAATTGCCGGCTGATCTAGTCATACTCGGCGTTGGTGTTGCTCCTGCAACCGAATATATCAAAGAGAACCCTGCAGTAACACTTGAAGGAGATGGGTCTCTCAGGACGGATGAGTCCTTCGCTGTTCAGGGCCTAAAGGACGTCTACGCCATAGGAGACATTGCCACATATCCTTACCATGGCCCTGGAGGGCAAGAGGGTAAAGTTCATGTTCGTATCGAACATTGGAACGTGGCCCAAAACTCCGGTCGTAGCGTTGGCCGCACCATTGCACACTCAGCAACATCCAGCCATCCTATAAAGCCAAAGGCGTTCATTCCAATCTTCTGGTCGGCATTAGGTGCTCAGCTCCGGTACTGTGGTAACACAGCTAACGGATATGATGATGTTGTCATGAAAGGGCAGCCAGAGAATGCGAAGTTTGCAGCCTTTTATACCTCTGGTGACACAGTAGTAGCAGTTGCTACCATGGGAATGGATCCGATCAATTCCAAGAGTGCTGAGCTCATGAGAAGGGGAAATATGCCTGGGAAGAAGGAACTGATTGCAGGAACTGATGTGTTGACTGTTGACGTCCCTGGCAAGGTGGTCATGTAAACAGATATATCGTCACTGCAGTTATTATCAAGGATTAAAATTAATTATTATTGTCTTTCAGCTTACACAACCTATCCATGGCCCCTTGCCACGAGAATGCACCAAGATGGGTAAAATGGTATGGAGAGATCTGGGACGTTTGAATATTGAACATGGTATTGACCTACACTTACACAATTAACATCAAACATATGCATTGAATAACTTTCCCGTTCCTTCATCACGCCATACCCTAGCCGTTATATGCAAAGACCCCATCAATCAAACAGTACTCCTTTTAAGCACCAATCTCGGGCGCCGACCACCCCTTTGGCTCCCTTGTGATGCCGAACCTCGACCTTTACCCTTACCCTTAGATTTTGGTTTTGGTTTTGGCTTTGCCTTTGCCTTTGCCTTTGCCTTTGGTTTCCGTTTAGCTACCCATCCAGGTCCATGGAAAAGTGATGAATCTTCCTCAAAGTCGTCATCACATTCATCGACATAATCATCGTCACCTCCTGCCACAGGATCACTTGATAATGTCAAGTCTACCACCATAGAGCCATCCGGTATCTGAGACGCAGAAGGTTCGTTGTTCTCTGGAGGATCCTGTGCATCCTGTAAGGGTAGATCGTCTTCATGTGGAGGTGGTGAAGTTGACTTTGCAGCCGGGTGTTGCGAGTTAACGGACGGACCGGCCGTTGGTAAAGGCGAGGATGACCTAGCAAGTTTAGAGGTAGCTGGTGGTGGCTTTAATGAAGCTGGCGGGCACGGAGTGGATTCCGCAAGAAGCTCTTCCAATGACGGGGTTGGGTCATTCTCCGAGAGATTGTCAATCTCATAGAATGGATTGGGAACAAGTGAGTTTGGGTGGCTATCACCGCTATCATCATCTTCATCTGTTTCATCCTCATTATCTGGTGGCTCCGGAGACTTTCCCTTCTCACTATCCTGGGCAGAGCCTTGCGCAGATATCCAGTTTTCTAGAGCAGACAAGGGTGATGGTCTTGCTGTTTCTGGCACGGTTGAATTTAATGGGGGAGGGCTTGGAAATTTGCGCAGGTCTGGTTCCGCCGGGGCTTCTGCTGCTGTTTCCTTTGAAGACAAGTCACAATCGAAGCCAGTGAATTTCGGAGATTCAACAACAAGACTATCCTCACGAGGATCTTCCGCGTCATGCTTCTCGATATCTTGTGAAATAGTAACGCTTTCTTGCACAATAGTCTTGTCCTCGTGGGTTTGTTCGCAGACGGTTTCTTCGGTACCGTCCTGCCGCTTCTCTTCCATATTAGGACAACTATCTTCTACAACTTCTTCCCCGCCAGGGACAGCCAATTCAGAAATTACAGAGGACCTAAATCCGGCATCTCTGATGAGCTGTGATATTTCCCGGCGGCTAGGAGAGGAAACTTGGATATCTTCCGGCTGTGAAGAGGTAAGGGGCGGCGCTTTCTCAGTGCTGCGTAAGAATGGTAAGTAAATATATTCCATTGTATAAGGGGCTTTAGCGTTACACCAACATGCGGACATTTTGCGTTTCTGCCACCTCACTGGCAAGATTTGTCGACTCATCTGCCGGACCCTCAAACAATTGCCTGTCTATGAGGCCCACTAAATCCTCTTCCGCACCTGCAAGTTGTTCTTGTAGTTTATTTACAGACACGTGAGCCGGGGCACTGATTAGTTTTGGGTCAATGAGGTTTTGAATTTCGAGTTCTCGCAGCCCATCGTCCTCCTCAATGTCGTCGAGACCAGGCATTTCGAACTTGGTATAGCTTCGTGGCTGACCATCATCTGCGTCATCGATGTCTAGTACATCTCGATCACGTTTAGCAAGACGAAAAGTGATTGTGTCGGCAGATTTAACATTTTCCACAATTGCAGTGCGGTAGGGAGACACCTCAGGCTGCCAATTAGTAGCCTTAGAGAGGTCTAACTGTTTGAATGCAAAAATTGCACCAGGCAATAGATTGCTATTATCCGCATCAGGCAGTGTTGAGATATCTTTTGGGAGAGGAGGCAGGTCGCCCGCTATATGCTTCGTAGTACTTTGCTTTTCAGGGCTAGGCATGATCTTATCTCTCTGGGACTTCGCTTTTGTTTGTGTCTCTGCAACGACAGATGCATCCGTGTTTAGTCCACCGGTCTCGTCCCCATAGTCTAGAGTGATATCTTCATTTGGATGAATCTCGCTCTCGTCAAATTCTGCTAGGTATCCGTTTTCGTTCTCTCCGTTGGATTGAGACTGCCGTTTCCGCTTATTCTTTTTCTTTTTCTTGCCTTGGGGAGCCTGACTTGCGCGTAGCTCCTGGATGGCGGCATGGGCGTCAGGGTCCCATCTCTGTAAGAAAGGGAATGGAGGCGTAGATAATTCGATCCCATCATAAAAACATTCAGTGGCCTTAAGTGTGATACTGTCTTGCCAATTCTCAATTGGCTGGAGTATTTCATCTGGGGGCTGTGAAGTAACACGTTCAGACACCTTTGGCGTAGCTTTCGGAGTCAGGCTAGTTTTCTGCGCAAGTTTAGCTCGAGTCTTTTCTTCATCTTCCTTCGTCTTGGGTGTTTTAACGCCCAAAGATCCAAACAAAAGACGCCGCGTGCTGTCAAGATCTAACTTCGACTGCCTCGTGGAAGCGAGGGCATCTGAAAAGGGAGAAGGCTTATCTTTGGCTGGTGTAGAGGTCGCAAGACAATCTACCTCAGCCGCTGATGAGGTTTCCTTATGTTTTCGTTTTTGCCCTGAGGGAGACGGAATTTCAATCCCGCCCTCCTCTATATCTCGTAGTAGCTGCTCTCGTTTTCTCTCAAATTCCGATTTTTCTTTAGCTTCAAGCAAGGCACTTACAGCCTCAGAGCCTCCATTCCCCTTCTCCCAGGCGCGCATGTCTTCGAAATTGGCATCTTTATGCAGGATACCAGCAACCTTTAGTCGGATCAATCTTCTGCGCCACTTGGTTCTCAGGTTTCCATGTTTAGTGCGTACAGTGCCATGACCCGGAGGGTTGACTTGTGCTTTTGCGACGGTAGTCTTGTCTTTAGGCTGTTCCGGCTTGGGTAAGACAGCTTTCTTCTTAGAAGATGACAATTTAGGGCCAGAACTAAGGTCAGAATCTGAATCCGAGTCTGAATCCGAGCTCGAACTACTCGAGGACGAATCGGAACCGGAACTTTTATTCGAGCTTGAACCCGAATTAGAATCAGACTCTGAATCAGGGCTTGAGTCAGAACTGGAATCAGCGTCCGAGTCAGAATCTGAACTGTCATCGTCACTAGAGCTCGAAGCTTCATCTTCCGAGGAATCTTTGCTTGATGAATCATCAGAATGATTTTTTTCTTCAGGGTTCGGTAGCACAGTTTGTTCCAATGTGGGTTGTGTTGTTTTATGTCTTTTAACAGTTGGAGGGGTGATTAATACACTCTCCTCTGGGACAGGTACACCACCAGCGGCAGAATTTGGGTCTTCTTCTTCATCTTGGACTATAACATTTACTGCCTCAGTCACCTCTACAATCGTTTTGTCTTGCTCTGCGGCAGGCTGTTGCTCTTCTGGTATCGCAGCATCATCTGTTTGAGAAATAACATCTTCAATGACCACAGTTGACTCATGAAGAAGAGAAGGAGGCTCCGTAATTTCACCGCGACCCTGGTCTGGGCCATTCAGTCGCCGTCTCTTATTTCTGGGTGGTATGGTTATAGAAGGTCGAGACACAGTTGTCCGTTTAAGCTCCTGGCGGGAATTCCCAAAGGGAACGCCATCGATTAGCTGTGTCCCGTCCTCAGCCACTTGCCGCCTTCCTGTTGCTATTCTAGCTGACATATCTTCGTGATCTAGGGGACGAATACTAAAACGCAGGAATGTTAGTATAAGGTAAAATAGTAGACGTCAAGACAGAACTTACACAACTTCGTCACCCTCACGAAGCAGCGCGTCGACACGCATGAAATGCAGACATTCGGAGCCCATAATCTCCACAACATAGTCATGTAACTGCCACTGTCCGCCATTATCTTCTGCCGCGTCCTCGATGTTCACCGGTGCTTCCAGTGGCACCACCTCATTAACATCTGCCAACAACTGAGAAATGATATAATTAGAGTCTCTGCCTACAGCAGCTGGGACACAGGCAGACGTATATGCAGTGTTGAAACTCCCGCTGGCGCTTAGCGTACGTATGGAGGCAGGGCCGGAGCTGGTGAACGATGATAGGGCGGACGGTTGGCGGGACAGCGATAGACCGGAGCTTTGCGTTACGGGCGTACTCCATAAAAGGCGCGTAACTGGCAACTCATGCCGATGGATGATGAGATGGAGGCGCATTGTCACGGTAGTGCAGCCCGGCGTATCGATGTCACTGGGTATTGCTTCAACGGTCGATTGGTAACGGTCTCGCGCTCATCTTCGATTGAGGCAAGTTTGCATCTGCTGCAGTGACGACAATGACCGCACTAGAAGGTATCCTCTCAATTCCGCGCAGCAACAGAATATGCACCTTCGATATAGTATCTCGTTTGACACGGTTAGGAATACTCCGTAGTTAAATAGGGACCAAGGAGAAAGCAGAGAAGACGACGAAGAAGCTTGTAGTTAAAAAGTCGAAGAGCTCAAGCACGATAACTTAATTAACTAGTTAAGGTTTAGAGTGACGCGGGAGCTTGGCGTATTTGCCGGCCAGACGAGGGCGCTTAAGCTCTATAAAAATTGGATGGATGGCCCGAGTCAGTGAATGCTCAGAGTAGAAGCGTAAGACAGAGAGACTGATATGACGTGTGCTATCAAATCAGTAGTATATCTACGGGTCCTTTCGTCTACTCATAAAATGTGAACGTCATAATTTTGTTCGTTCTTGCTGATCAAAATAATAACTAATAGTCATGCAGCCCTCATCGTGCTGTAACTCCTGCACCTTTAGTTCCGTTGTAGAAATAAAATACGCCCCACGCTCACGCTCATAATAATAATGGTAATTTTAATGTCGAAGCAAGACATCAGGCCCCAGCTCCATCTGCCAGCTTAGTTCAAGGTAAAGAATTCATCTTCTTCGGTGCTGGCACAGGTTTTCTAGGTGGTATACCTAGGTTCGGCATGATTGGTGTTGTCCGCCTTGGCTGTAGAGGCGGTCTATCCATCGGTAGTGATACCGTTGACGAGGATGTCATCGACGGTAAATCTGTTGTTGACGCCGTTGGCGACTCGGATACGTCGTCGTGTTGTCCCGAGATCTGGTAGTGTTGGAACTCACGTATCTGCTTCTGCATTAGTAGGCCGCTATTTCCCAGCCCATCGGTTTCGTTCGTAGTGGCTAGGCGGGATGGCTGGTTTACATCTCTCTCGACCATCACAGGCGGGATATTCGTGAACTCAAATGTCGGGGACCGCGATCCGGCGTCGCTGGGAAATAGTCGTTCGTCACATTTTGAATCTATATCGTAGCCACCGTAACCGGAGGGGCCGAAGCTATTGCTTCTGGGGTTACCGGGGGGTGCTGAAGATTGAGCATCAGTTGAGGTCCATGACGAAGGGCGTTGTGATGCGGCAAGTGGGTTATACTCGCGCCTCGGGCCATCTACTGGCGCAAGAGCATCCGCCATCGCATCCTCGTAGCTGGGCGGGGGAGCTTCTTCGTAGTTATCCATGGCAATAGGGTGGTTTGCTTGGATTGGTGGGCGTGGGGGTTGGGGAGGTGGTATATTCGGGTTGCTCGAGGTCGGACTGGGACCTGGCATAGGCTGGCTAGGCGGTATATGACTAGGTACATGACTAGGCCCATGATCTAGCCCGAAAGCCGGGCTTTGCATAGGAGCTGGAATTGGCTCCTTTGATGGCCGCCCATCCATAGCGTCAAGAAGTGCTTGAGGCGGCGGAATACCGGAGAATACCTGAACGGCCATCCGTAAAGGAAGGACAATAAGACCTTTCTGTAGTGGGTATTAGCGTATGTTCGATGAAGTAGGGTTACCAAAGAAAACCAGTAGATAAGAATAATCCGAGGTAAATGAATCAAGTTTAATAAAACCAGGGAGTACCTTCGACCCAGCTGGCCCATGGGCCAGTCCAACCCTTATCTCTAATTCATATGCTCTTGACATATTGCATGTCTCAAAGGATGGAAGAACGGCGCTAGGTAGTGGTATACGATTCCACATTTCTGGATCCAGCTTCCATTCTTTACCCGCCGGGTCACTGCCGTTGCCTAAGGGCAAGCCAATGTTACTTCGAGTAGTGACAACCCAGCTTCCGCTTTCAGTTCGAGTAAGGTCATGAGCACGGATATAGGTGTAGGATATCAGTTCTATCTGCAGAAGCTGGAGGGTAACAATCTCGCTACTATCGTTGAGCTTCTTTATCAAGATGCGAAGTGGTAGCGGTTCATTGCACGTTATTATCGGAGGGCTAGGCAGGCGTGCATCGACAGAGAAACGAGGCAACAGCTCGCTTTCAGCACTGCCTTTGAAGAGCCCCTTTTTCTCTTGGGGTGACTGGGGTGACTGGGGTGACTGCGGTTGTGCTCGGGACTTGAACTGATGCTCTCGTCTAGCATATGATTCCTTATCAACCTCCTTCTTCCGCGGCGGTTCTATAGGCAGAAACCTGAAATCCGCAAACTGAATGAAATATCAGTATTTTGTAAATTTTTTATATCAGCAGTAAAATAGTTGGTCAACGTTAGGGTGAGAAAGGCGCACTCCTCTGTAGTTTTCCTTGTAAAACTGCGGCCTGGCGACTGTCGCCTTAACATAATATTTAATCTCAGCTTCACCGGGGAACCCGGTCAATGAAGGAGGCAGGGTTCTTCGAATATGCTGATTGGTATCCCGAGCTACCTCTACCCTTATGCCGGCCATGTTCAAGTTAGTGGGCAATGGGTTATCGATGCAATCGTTGTTGAACGGGAACTACATATCAGGTTAGTCAGCCTGCCCTTGCAACGGCGTTTCTATAATCAAAGTCAAGTGTCACACCCACCCTGAATTGGAAAGGGTACTCATATATTCCTGGTGCGAGGGTATAGAATGGATTAGGTGATACATGATCCTGTATCTCCGGTCCAGGAAAGAGGGTGATGACCTTGTATAGCACCTATATCAACAGAGACAAGACCCCGCGTTAGCATCGACTCCCGTATGATTTATCTCAACTCTCTATAGTTGTTTCTCCCCGCGATTAACTATCGCTCTGACCTTGTGCAATTCAATCTCCGTCCGCTTCTTGTCTGACCGTTCATTGTGCGGATACTTCGCAGCGGCTAAACGAGTCCGGCTCTCGCCTTCTAACTTGACGATAATGGAAGTTATGGGCGTTTCCGTCGAGAGGGACAAGACGGCCTTGCCCGTGATGTAGTCGAGGTTTGTAAAGAATGCGTGAGGCCTGTTGAGGAAGATCTGGACCGACATGACGGCGACAATAACGAGAGGGCGCGAGAGAGGAGTATTGCGTGTGGGTAGAAAGAGATCCGAAAGGTGTCAGACGGTCGAAGTCGCTTGCTTCAGCGCATCCTTCGTTCCACCCTTAGCGACTTTTCTCTCGTTTGTACGGAGTAAATCAATTTATTTATCAGCGCTGTCTTAAGCTTTGCAACAGACTGGCGCCTGTAACTAACTAGTTAGTTATACCTGGTATAAGTAGATTAATTTATGGTGGATGTTGCTCAGGAAGTGAGTGGCTTTGCAGGCAGGAAAGTGTTTCTTCTTTTGTTTGGCCGCAATGCAGGTTGGACGAAGATTGATAGTTAATTACTCCGTAGTTAATCCCGTTATCTAGTTCCGGAGTAACTATTTATACAACCAGGAATGACGTAAATAGCTAATTCGTTGTCCCCGCCATAAGTCGCTGTTGGCCACTGGACTCAGCGTTGACAGATAGCAGACATGAGGTGCATAATCTTCAGCTGATGAGCGCCCTTAACGTTGATCAGTCAAGGCAGGCCAAGCGACCCCAGCTGCGGTCTCGACAAGGCGAAGCAGCCAGTCAGTTTCTAGGCCTGGCAAACAGGCAAGGATGAGGTCAGTGCAGATATTTATATAAGGTAATTGTACGATAAGCTGCGCACAGGAAAAGGCGCTGGGCATGATGAAGCAGCGATCACCTCTATCACATTCCTAGCTGCTCCTGCGCATGATAGAGGCTCAGCCATCCGCGCGTTCGTCTTCATCGCGGGCCCCAGTGAGGCGCAGTCAGTCGGCAGACTCTGGGCCAGAACAGCAAGCTCGACTGTAGAGCTTGAGTATGGCGGCTCGGGTCGGCTAGGGTAAACAGCTAAGAGGAAACACTTAGCCCAACAAACAGCTACTAGGTAATTAACTGTATCTGTAAACTTGCAACGTACTATAAAGATTCCAGAAAAACGTCAATTGGAAGTCAATCTCGAAGGCGCTTTTGGATTCAAGATGGTCACGTGAAGTGTGTTATTGCTGTTGTTGTTGTGTTAACGATAAACAAAGACTCAAAGACACGAAAGCACGAAAGATACTACTTTTTCGCACCTGAAATCTCTACGGCGGAAACGAAATCATAAGTGAAGCATTAGGTATAATAGTATTGGTATAGGGTATGTTAAGTTATGATATTGGCGCGTAAAAGAGAAAAATCAAGACCCGTACTCCAAAAGTCATCCCGCTATCGATTAAAGAGTTACAACATGGCCCAGAACTAGGTTATTGACATGACACAGCGACACGACCACAGAGAGAGGAAGAGAGGGAAGGTCGAGGAGGAAGAGCATCCACGTTTCGCGTTTAGAGGGCGAAAGCAGCAACAAGGAGACCGACAGCACCAGCAGCAGAGCCGAGCTGGAACTTAGCGTTGCTGACGGCAGCACCGGACTGGCTTGGGGAGAGCCAGATCCAGACTGGGTGG